TTTAAAAAAATATATTTAAATTTCTTTCTTTTTCCTGAGGAGACTGGTGAGGCTCCGCCTCCCTTACCTCTAGTGACTGCACGTCCCTGCTAATACCGCTATCAAGAAAGTGAAATATGCTATAAAAGTATTTTAAAACATGTAAAGCAAAGTTCTCAATATTTCACATTGCACATGTAGCCTACCTTCCAAAATAGGATTGGCTTCTAGAATCTGTTGTTCAATCCAGGAATGTTGACCACTAATGACAGCTAAGAACTGCAACATTAATTTTGTGCTTTCAGTCTTCCCAGCTCCAGACTCTCCACTGGAATAAATTTTGAAAAATGGTAAATCAGAAGTATTGGTATATGGAAGAATGCAATCAGAGAACTTTGCTAAAATGCTCACAGGCTTCCCTACATGTCGTGTGAGGTGACTATTTTAAAGATGTGCTCTGCTTGCGCTCCCAAGTATTCCATAGTAACTTTTGAGAATCATTTTCAAAGCCTCTATAATACTTCCTCTGTTTCTTTTCCTCCAAGCTATTTAAATATTTAACAGTACTAACACATTTTTCCATTACATTATGTGCCCCTTACCTAATGACAGAGCATTGATCTTTCTTATTCCTCAGCATGTTGAAATAACAATTATCAGCAATGGCAAAGACATGAGGAGGCAGTTCCCCAATCCTTCTGTTGCAGTACAGCTGGATTTGTTCCATGGTATACAGTGGCAGCACTTGATATGGATTGATGGCTACAAGAATAGAGCCTGTGTAGGTCTAAAAAAGTTTATGCCCATGAATATGAGAATCTTGGAATAAATTAGTGATGAGTTTTCAAATGAAGTATCAACAACAATCTCAAAATAAGTTACTGGTAGGAATATTTACAATATCAAGCAACATTCTTATCATCTTATTCCCCTTATAAATACATGAAATTACAGGTGACTATACTAGGAAAAGTAAAAACTGTAGAATGTAGAATAAATAAACATAAAGCATATAAAATTGGAAGATTTGAATGAAATGTGAAATAACATTTACAAGGTGTGTATACAGAAGAATTTTATAAAGAAATTAGTCTGTAGACATTTTGCTTATTTTTAAAGCCATTTCTCTGTATTTGATTTTATTTCTAAGCAATAGAGAATATATAATTCTCTCATTATAAAGCATTTTTAAAAATGGGGCTTCAGAATCTATACTTAACTATATATTATTAATAAAAAATCAGTCTTACATAGATTTTATTCTCTTTGTAGCGGATATATAGGTTGTGTACCATGCCAGCTTCATTCATCTCTTCAAGATGTATCATATCTTCCACTCCTTGGATGGAGGCAGCATGCATTGGTTGCATTGCGCTAATATTTTGAGCTGTGATCCAGTGTTCCTTAAATACAAGTGCATTTAACTGTCTGGATTTCATAAACTAGCTTAGTTTGCTCCTGAAAAAAGCTCTTAAGATTCACGCCATAGATAACATTAGTATGCTTATCTGAAAATGCAACAATTAAAAGAATGATACAGGGTTCTGGTTTCTCCTGTTACATTGCATAACACCTGTTTTATTTTGGCTATGAATCCCAGAACTTTGCAAAATCCAAAGATTTAGCTCTATCTGATTTCAAATTTATTTCCAGCTTTGGAATGCATGTGTCAAATATGAACAATGCTCCAAAACACCACCTAAAGCTGTTGTCAAAGTGTATTTAAAAATAATAATAAAGAGAAGAAAATCATTAAATGCATAGGAAAAACTCCTATTAATCATTTTTAAATAGGTTCCATTACATTAATTGAAATACAAGTTTAGATTAAATTACATTTATATTTTGATAGGAATCCTACTCACTTTTTAAAATTGAGCATCAAAACATCCAACTAAAAATTCAAGTGTATGTTGAGCCTTTACTAATTATAGATCCATCCAGCTCTTCAGTTGGATGCAGAAGATCATATACAAAAATTGGGTACAGATGAAAGTGGTAAGTAGCCTACCTTGCCTTCATCATCCTCCAGCAAGAATCGTCCCAAGTTAGATACTTTCACAACTGCCCCAATGGGCACATTAAACTCTTTGCCTGAATGGGATTTCAGCCATACATGATCACCCTAAGAGAAACAATATTCTATAAAAGATCTTATGCTTTTTCTTGTTCTGACTTACCTATTATTATTATTATTATTATGCAATTGTATCACAGCGGCCAGTTGTTTCACCGGATTTGGCATTGGTTACTAGTCGGGCC